GGCGGGTCGGCCTCACCCACTGCCAAGAAGGCCAGGGGCAGACCTCCCGGTTCAGTGAACAAGAAGAAGCAAATTGAAGTTATTGGTAAAAATGAAATCTTGGGATGTTCTGTTATTAATAGTTATTCTGAGTGGAAGTTCTTTTTGTTTCACTTTGGCCACAATAAAAAATATATATTTTTTTTTGTGGAAATAAAATATTTTATCTCTAGTGGGGAATGGAGATCATATGTTTTTGGCCTTGAGATATATATTTTTTTTTTCTAATAATTAATTTTATTAAATAAATATGACAAAGTATTGGGATTTCTAATTTCTAATCAATTCATTAAACTATTTATGTTTTATGCTTTTAGTTTGTGTTGGTTTTAATCTGGGGATGAACTATAAATAGGTGTTGACCTTTGATGCAGAATATAGAGCTATGAGAAATTCGGTTCTGCTATTTTATGAATCTGCTGAATTTCTGACCAATCTCAAGAATCTTATATATCTAATAAAGGGAAATTGACCAGCTTACCCCCCCTGTCTGCAGCTACTTTCTTGCTTACTCTCAACATACATAACAACATGACTTGCTTGGTTCTGTAGTGTTCTCCCTAATAATCTTATATATCATCCATTAATTTGTTTTCCTGTAGTGTTCTCCCTAATAATCCTTGGTGGCTCAGCATTGTGATTTTTAATCATTATTCTAACAATCCCCGTGACATGAATGAAATTTACGCAAGATTGTACTTGCAGGATCAACTGGGATTGGATTCATACCTCATGTGATCGACGTGAAGCCAGGGGAGGTTAACAACTCAACATATAGTTCTTTATGTTATGTCAAAAGAGATTTTTTTTTTCCCCGATTGCTGTACTAAATTCTCCTTTAAGAAGTGTTAACGGACCCCAAACGTTTTTGGTGTATTTTCTAAGCTTTATTTAGCTCGTAAGCGTTCCAACATTTATTATCGCATAAGATTTACTTGGAAGCTTCCAATATTACACTAAATAATATATACAAACGCCTCTATTATCTGATTCTGAGAATGCTGTTAATATGTCGTGTTTGATGTCGACCCATTTTACCGTAAGCGTTTAATATTTTTGCCTTTTTTCTGACTATGTTGGGTTTCAGGATGTATCTTCGAAAATAATGGCATTTTCTCAGAATGGCCCAAGGACTGTTTGTATTCTATCCGCAAATGGTGCCATATCTAACGTCACCCTCCGCCAAGCTGCAACTTCCGGTGGCACTGCAACTTATGAGGTTTTCTTCTTTTATCTTTTTTTCTCTGCTTTTACCTTTATTATGTCTTCTCAATTGAAGCTGATCTAATTCATATACTTTTATTTTTCTTTTTTTATTTTTTATTTTTACTTGTGACTTGTAAAAATTTGTTGTAGTCTCCAATCTATGGTTATACCTGACTTGTAATTTAATTTTCCATCTGAACTTGACTATTAAAAATCACTTTATAGAGTCTGCACAAACAAAATTGGTTACAATATTACCATAATCTGGTTTTATTTTCTTTCATTATTCCTGTTTGGTTTAGGGGCGGTTTGATATATTGTCCCTTTCGGGGTCGTTTATGCTGTCGGATGTTGGTGGTCATAAAAGCAGAACGGGTGGATTAAGCACAACACTAGCCGGGCCTGATGGAAGGGTTTTTGGTGGGTGTGTGGCTGGTTTATTCATAGCTGCCTCTCCTGTGCAGGTAAAGTTGCTGTCTGCAATTTTTTCTAACATCCTTGATGTGTATGCATTGTAATAGCATTTTAAGATGTCTTTTTCGTATTATTTGTGTTGCAAGATTGAATGCAATAAATGAATCTGAAAAGGTCAAGTCATCTTCTTATGATCGGTCTCGGTCAACCAAGAGGGGGCAGAAAATAAGAATTATTGGTTCGGGAAAGATATCTGATATCTTTGGTTGCGATTGTTCATGGGACTAAAAAATTAAAGTAAATAATTTTTTTTTTTTGTTCAATTTTCGTCTTTTGAATAAAAACTGGTGTAATGACGTTCTGAAGTGTGGAAAGATACGAATTAAACGAGAATCTCATTTCCTCTCCCACATCCTAATACTGCAGCATGCTATCTATTTGTTTATTTGCTTGTCACCATTTGTAGTTTGCGCCTAAATATTTGTGCAAAAAGGTTATAACATAAGATCCTTATCGCCTATTTTTTGTTCATCTGTCATTTTTCATTCAAGTTATGCGCCTTGTGTTCTACACTATTATCCATTCCAAAAACCTTACGAACAATCACCCACAAAATCATATTACCTTATCACACCACATCCAATGCATGCCCAGCATTATTTTCTTCTACTTCTTTAGGAAGAAAAATGACCACTGTAAAACACTAAAAATTATAGATGAGGTGCGTATTTGTCCAAACTGCTAGATTTTATTATTATCTTACTTATATCAAAATTCCAGGTAATAGTCGGAAGCTTCTTGGCCGACAGTCGGAAAGAATCAAAATCTGCAAACTACATGGAGTCGATATCCGCTCCACCAAAGGTGAACCTTAGCGGCCCAACTGGTGCCAGCAGCTCCCCTTCACGTGGGACGTTCAGTGGATCATCTGGTGGGCCCGCAAGCCCTCTCGACCTTAGCTCCGGTGCTTGCAATAACAATCACCCTCAGTCCATGTCAGCAATGCCCTGGAAGTGATCATTCTTTTTTTTCCTTTTCCTGCAAGAGTTTCTCAGTCATGTGGAAACAAAACATTGTAAGGGTTTCTTCTGTAACTTTACTGTCGGAATAAGAACTGCGTGGCTGTTTCTAGTCGACTATAGTTGTTAGCCTGTGACTGTGAGTACTCTCTTGTAGAGTTAGAGCTTTTTAATCGACTGAAAAAACTCTTCTTTAGTTTCACTTGTGTAGTTGCCGTTCATTGACAGTCGTTGTATGAGATCCTAGTTTGTTTTCACTCTTTGAAATGGGTGGAGCATAAGTAGAGATATTTACTGTGTATTGGTGCAGATTTGCGTCATTGTTATTATTTATTTTCAGTTCTTTTATTGTTTGGGTCATTGATCTGTTATATCTGAGTCCTAAAAACAAGCTATTTTCAGTTGGAACTGGAAAGAGCAATATGGAGTGTCAGTCACAACTCACAAATAGCCTCCAAAATACATGATGTAAGAAGGATGATC